TATATATATATATATAAAGAGGATGTTTGCCTTAGGGTGCATGATTTTGCCACAGAAAGAGATAGAAACAGTGAGAGGGAAAGTGAGAATCACCCCCAGGGGGGATGGCCACACTGCAATCCCTTCTCCATTCTCCTCCTGGGATCTTGGGCACGCACACATATGCACCCGGTGTGATTTAAGACACCAGATCCAGGACTTGAACTGCGGTTGGCCCAGTGGGAGTCCAGTGACATAACCGCTACACCATTTGCTGGCCCCAAGCATTTATTACTTTTTTTTAAGGAGAAAGAGAGCAAAGAAAAAGAACAAAGGTCCCTGGTTACAGATGAGAATCCAAGACAGAACATTCCAGCATGCCGTCATTGCAAGAGCTGCTGCCCCTCTTCCTGCCCTCTGTATCCAGCTGTTCAGTTGTGCTGCGGCATCTCGAAATGTGATCCTCACATGGGTCCCCCCTGCTAGGTCTTGGCCACATTCCCTATTCTCTTCTTAGAGGTTTTGTTTGGCCCCCTTCCCACTTCCCAGCTCTCTGTTCATGTTCACCCCGTTCTCTCATCGTCTCCTCGGGTCTCCACCCTGGGCATGGCTGTTGCACTCCTCTTTTCCCTTTGTGCCTTCAGCCTCACTGTGGCTCCCGAGCGCTCCCTGAACGCGTTCCCAGTCTCTCTCCTATGACTCTTCTCAAGTCAGACTCTGAGCCACTAGGAGGTAAGGCTGGCTTCTCCCTTAGACCTGGGAAGATTTCCCTCCTGGTGAGGAAGTGGAGGGATTGGGCCTCCTCTCAGGCGGCTCCCGGAGCTGGAAACCTGCCTTCTGATTCTTTAGCTTCTCTTCCGCACATGAGTCCAGGCCCCCCTATAAAAACTTACTGGTGCCTGATTATGCAGAACAAGCCATCAGACATGACAAGATACCGCAGTCTGAGAGACACTGACGCTGCGGCGGGGCGCAGCACATCCCATCCTACCCAGCTCTGAAAACGGCTTCAGGAGGTGGTTATTATTTTGCCCCCATTTCAGAAGCGAAAAGCCGATGATGGAGAAGATTAGTTCAAGGAGGTCCTTGAGTTAAAGTCATATTCAAGACTGGACTCCATTCCGAAGGCTGTAAAGAGCCACCGAAGGGAAGCACGTCAGCAGGTCTAAGTTTCAGAAGGCTGACTCTCAGAGAATCTGAGGGTGACTGAAGGAGGCAAGTCTCTAAGTCTCTGGAAACTGTTTTATTTTTTTGTTCATAGAGCCCCCCCCCCCCCATGGCAGAAAAAAACACCTCTTACCTGCATAGCTGGAAGACAGCTGGAGGAGGAGGAGGAGGAGGAGGGAGAGGAGGCAGCTAGGCAGAGAAGAGCGCAATTCACTTGCCATCTTCGCTGTTCCTGGGGACAGAGAGCCCCAGCAGTGGGGTCAGGCCTGGCAGAGACCCTTGGGGCGCATTCTTTACCACTGAAAAAAGCCTGAGGGAGGTCGGAAGGGCAGTGCTGTCTGGGCCCTGCCTCCACCCAGCCGGTGCCACAGCTGTGTCCATAGGAATAGCGCACGTCACCCTTGCCAGGCGCTTACACAAAGGGCTACAGACTGAGGGCATGACCAGGGTTCGCCTGTCCCACCCCCTCAGGGCAACGGAGCAGCAGCTGCCTGGTACAGGGCCTTTCTCCCCACTCCCTCCTGGCGAGCCTTTGAAGGGGCTTCCAGGGGCTGGTTAGTGGACAGGATCCCTCTCTGACCCCAGGGAGAGGCCTGTTCATGTGTCTGTGAGGCCTCTTCAATCTCTCTTCCCCCAGAACTAGCCAAGGGAGAGGGATTATTGTTGGCCTCTTAAAAAAAATTGGACTGTTTCCTGTTTTCATGTCTTACAACTGTCCTTGCCAGGGCATTCTTGATGTCTGTCTAATCCCCCTCCTACTGCAAATCCAGACATCCTTCCTTGTCCGGATTTCTGACAGCAACTTGGGTTTAGTTAGCGTCTCACCCCCAAAGATTGCATTTAGGGAAGTCATGAGTTGAATGCCAGGGGTCCATGGCTGCCGGTGCTTAGAGAGGCAGGGCTGGAGGGAGGCAGTCAGTACAGGCACCTGGGTCCGAGCCAGAGAGCAGGCCACACCCCAGCCTTGGCACCCTGCTCCCATTCCCGCAGTGTTACATAGGAATTGAGATCGGAATGGAAATATGACTCTTTTTTCTGCCCCAGTCTCACCCGAGAATTGTAAGAGTGAGATCAAAACCAGCTTTCCAAAATACTCGTATGTTGGGTCATCGGAAAAGTCATGACGTAAATTTTTCTTTTTTTTTTTTTAATGCAAAAATGCATCATGACTTTTCTGATGACCCAATAGCTCCCAATCTTAAAGCAAGGATGCCTCATCAATGGGCTAGCAGGTGGCATGGTGGTTAAGGCACTGGACACTTCCACATGGCTGACCACAGTTCAAGTCCTGGACTCTCAGGTGCTGGACTCCCACATGGGCGACTGTGATTTGAGTCCATGGTCAACTGTAGTTCGAGTCCTGGACTTGGTGGCTTGCTTTCTCACTCTTCCTCTCTCTGTCTCTCTCTCTCTGGTCAAACTGAAGAAGAAAAAGAAATAAAATTAAATAATTAAAAAATGTTTTTTTCTAGGGTCAGCAGGTGGGATGGCGGTTAAAGTGTTTGCTTTCTCACTTTTCTTCCTTCTCTCTCTCTGATGAGTGCACACACCCTATATCACATTAAAAATTTAATAATAATAATTAATTATTTTTAAAATAGTTCCTTGACTTCTCTATCCGTGTGCCAAATGCTCACTAGCTCTATAGCCAGCACTTACACACTGACCAGCACAAATACAGAGCACTTCCGTCATCACAGAAAAATTACATGGGGCCAAACAAATGATATTGGGCAGCAAGAGGTAGGACAGGACTGGGACATTACATTTCTGCTTCCGTGCGAAACAGGCACAAGATGGGACGGATTCTAGTCAGCTGAGTCTGCGACTTGCATGTCCTCTCCCTCTGCAAGGCAGCTGGAGGTCTGGCACTTGCAGAGTTCGAGCACTCTGGAGCTGTGTGGGTGAAAGTCGAGATTAGAGGAGTGAATCCCGGGGGAAAATGAGCTCTGTGCATCCCGACCTTCTTTTCAAGTGGAGAGTCTTTCATTCTGGAACCTAAAAACTCCCTGGGATGCTTTTTCTCCACTACGCTCTATGCTCTATGCACAAGATGTTCTCCAGGGCACGGTTTGGGGGTGGTAGGCTCTTACAATTGCCCAGCACCAAGCTAGCTGTCCAAAGCTGAATGGGGTGGGGCTAGTACGTGGCATGGTGATTACGGGTGCTGGACTCCCATATGGCCGACATGGTTTGAATCCCAGATCTGGCAGCTTTCTCTCTCTCTCTCTGTCCTTCTTTAGTCAAATTAAAATAAATCAATAAAGTTAAAATAACATAATTCTTTAAAAAAAAATAAGCTGGGTGGGGATAGAAGGATTGAGGTGGGAAAAGGCAACAGAAAAGGTAAGCTGCTGGCCAATCAAAGCCGCTTTGGAGAAATCACAGCATCTCTGAAACAAAAGCACCCCGCCTGCCTGAGTGCTTTCACATGCCACCATTCTACGCAGTTGACATGCATCAGGTCACCTAATTCTCTTTTTTAATGATTCCTTCTCTCAAGTTTTTGCTATACTAGAGGGAGCATGTGTTTGCTGGAGGGAGAGAAGGGGGGGGGAAGCATCCTCCCGGTAAATAGCCATGCTACAATCTCCTCTCCATTTCTCCTCTTGGGATTTTGGGTGTGCATGCACATGCACTTGGTAGGGTTCAGAGTACGATGCAGGAGACATTCTCTCAAGAGAAAAAGGAAAGTTTATTGTGAGAAAGAGCACCTGGGGGAGTCTGAAGCCAGAGGTGCCTCAGCCCACCCTACCAAGGATACTGGAGGATTTATATGGGAGGGGTGGAGCGGCAGGGTCACAACAATGGTGGGGGTGTTGATTAGCTTACTTGCCAAGGTGACCTTATCAGCCCATCCATGGTGTCAGCTGCCAGTAAGGGAGGGCTCTGGCCTGAGGATTCTGGTCAAAGGTTGCTCCAACCATCTCCTTATTTTCTGGCAGGAAATGACCTAAAGGTCATTCGGGGCCCTTCTAACAGCACCCAAAGTGATTTTCAAGCTACTGCGTCCAGGACTCGAACCTCACAGTTGGCCATGTGGGATCCAGCACCCTTAACCACCACACCAAAGACTAGGCCCTAATTCATGTTTTTTGTTTGTTTATTTGTACACCAAAGACTAGGCCCTAATTCATGTTTTTGTTTTTGTTTTTTCTTTTCTTTCTTTCTTTTTCTTTTTCTTTTCTTTTTTTTAGAGAGATTTTTGCTATAGGGCACATGTGCTCACCAGTGAGACAGAGAGATGGAAATCAAGAAATCACGGGGGATGGTCGTGCCACAGGCACATGTGCTCACCAGTGAGACAGAGAGATGAAAATCAGGAAATCATGGGGGATGGTCATGCCATAGTCCTTTCTTCTCTATTCTCTTGGGATTTGGGGCACCTGCACACACACACTCAGTGTGTTTCAAGCTGCCTGGTCTGGCACTCAAACCGCGGTTGACCATGTGGGAGTCCAGCACTTTAACCACTACGCCACTTGCTGGTTCCTAAGTCTTTCTTTAATTTAATTTTTTAAAAAATTTATTTTGTCTATGAGTGAGAAATATAGAGAACAAAAAAGAGAATCACCTCCAAAAGGATCCTGACACTGCGGTCCACTCCCCGTCTCCAGCCAGCCCTGGATCTGTGAGTTCTCTGGATTGAACTGGTGACCTTGCTGTGTGACATTGCCCCCAGGGCATAGTGTTTTACCACTGGGACACCATCTGGCCCCCAACCGCCTTAATTCTGCTGACAGTAAAGTAAACGTTAACCTACTATCACCTTCGCTCTACAGATGAGGAACCTGAGGTACAAAAGCGCCTAAGGGCCTCGGTCAAGGTCAAGGTCACACCACTAGGGAGTGGCAAGGCTGAGACCCAAGTCCAGCTCTCTAGCCCCTGAAGTGGCCCTCGGGACCACGACACCAGGGCCCTGAGCTACCTTACATTATGCTCTCAATTGCCTCAACTCTTCTGAGAAGGGGTGACTTCCTGGAGCGGTGGCCAGCAGTCCCTTAGATGACACGATCTTTGGGCAAATGCAATGCGTACAATGGAAGGGGAAAAGGGCCACCAGCAGAATGAAGCCAGTGTTGTTTCCATTTACAGAAATCTGGAATGTAGACGCGTAAGGTTCTGCTGGGCGTCGAGCATGACCTGGCTGTGTCTAGGAGGCCACGCTTGTGCTGGCGTGCTCATCTTTTCTTTCAGCACCTAAATGCTACTTTACTTCCTTGTGTGTAGCGCATGCGATACTGCAAGTGTTCTCCAGTCACTTCTCGTGTGCATTGCTCTCCTCAGTAATTTCCTTGTAGGGCCAGCAGGTGGCGTGGCAATTATGTTGCAGAGTTCCTATATGGCTGATGACGGTTCAAATCCCGGGCCCAGTGGCTTGAAAATCATGCTGGGTGCATGTCTGTGCATGCCCAAGATCCCAGGAAGACAATGGAGAAGGCATTGGGTCGTGATGTGACCATGCCACATTAAGGCGTGCTTTTTATTTCTCTCTCTGTCTTCTCTCTCTCTCTCTCTCTCTCTCGGGAGTGCACATGCCCTAAGGCAAAAACCTCTAAAGAAAAAAATAACTAATGGGACCAGCAGTTAGTGTAATGGCTACGTAGCTGAACTTCCATGTAGTCGACCGTGGTTCAAGTCCCAGACCTGGTGGCTTAAACTCACGCTGGGCGCGTGTGCATTTGTGCCCAGGATCCTGAGAGGAGAATGGAGAAGGGATTTCGGCATGGCCATCCCCCCTGGGGGGTGATTTTGTGCTTTCTGTCTCTCTGTGTCTTTCTGTGTCTGCATGCACCCTATAGTAAAAAAAAAAGAAAAAATAACTAATAATTTCAGTTTAACTTACACCTCCAACCAGGTCTAATAACAGGTCACGCACCTAGTCATGCATGCAAACTGACAAACTTGGAATATAACACATTAATTAACATTCTGTGCACATGTGAAAAGTAATCTTTCACTAAATGCGAGTTTACCCAGAGTTATCCAGTAACAGTACTATATATATATGTATATATATATGTGTGTATATATATATAATTTATTTATTAATTATATTTATTCATTCATTTATTTTTAATTTGACCAGAGAGAGAGAGGGAAAGTGAGAAAGCAAGCTGCCAGGTCCGGGGACTCGAAACATGGTCAGCCATGTGGGAATGTCCAACGCCTTAACCATCACGCCACTTGCTGGTCCCAGTACTATATATATTTTTAAGAATTATTTTTTGGGACTAGCAGGTAGTTTGGTGGATAAGGGCACTGGACTCCCACATAGCCGACCACAGTTCAAGTCCTGGACCTGGCTTCTTGCTTTCTCACTTTCCCTCTCTCTATCTACTCTTTCTCTCTTTCTCTCTCACTCTGTCC